ACAATAAAAAAAAGTATAAAAATAGCAAACAGAAATGATGCAAACAATCCAATTAATGATAAGAAATGGATAAAAAGAAATAGAATAAAATAAATGAGGAATAAAATCAAGTTTAAACCAGTTAAATGAAGGCTAGCCGATAAAAATGAGTCTTAACAAGTGATGTAAAAGATGATAGTGATGGTGTGAGTCTTATCTCCTCTGGCAGCTCGTTCCAAAGTCGAGGTGCCCGGACTGAAAAGACTCTATCACCTTTTGTCCAGAGTCGGGACTTTGGAACAGACACAGGGACCTGAAGATCTGAGGATCTGCGGCTGCTGGACGCTCGGACGGGGTTCCAAGTTCTGAAATGGGTCGGGTCAATTGGTAATGGAGGGAAATGGGCAGATTTTTGACATTCAAATGTCTCTTATTCAGAAACTAGAGGGACTATTGAAATAAGTAAAGTATCAGAATGTAGGAAAGAGTTACACTCCAACAGGGTCAAGTTAAACCTGTGATATTCTTTCAAGTTGTTGACAAAAAATGTAAAAACTCATGAAATATGCAGCACTTTTTGGTCAATAAATCCAAACAGTGATAACTCTTGGTTCTCACTTCCATATCCTTAACAAACTGGTTTGAATATTTGCTTCATATAGTTTTCTACCATATGGTACAAGATTAGGTTGAAAAACCTCTTACTTTTTGAGTCATGAGATTTTTTATTAAGAAAGGTCATGGTAACGGAGGGAAAAGTAACGGAGGGAAAATTGTACAAACAAGTAGAAGGTGCAGGATTTTACATTATTTGTCGCTTTTTTCTTCTGAATACTTTAATATTACTTCAAAATGAAAGGAAACTATTTCTACAAAATATGTCAGTCCTTCCAAGCAAATTTTTATCATTTTAAATACATTTTTTTTGAAAAATCCTGTCCCTTCATCAACAGTTCAAAGATGGAATAACACAAGATATGATGAAATACATCCATTTATTGACATGATTTGCAGGTCTTTGAAATTTGGAAAATAATTTTTGTTCCATGTTTCATACATGGTCTGTTTAAAACATATGGAACTTTAGAACCAAAAATGGTACAGAAAAAAGGTCAACAGTTTCATAAACTAGAGTACATATGTATCTGTTCAATACATTTTTATATCAGATGCATTAACATGAATTTTTGGCCTTGTTGTTTACTTCTGCTTGACCAGGCCCAGATGTAACTTGGTGCAAGACCTAAACCAGCTTTAAAAGTGATCAGTCAAATGTTAAAATCGATTCTAAAACCCACAGGAGCCAGAGAAGGGAAGTTGATGTCTGGATGGGTTTGGAGTGGAGACCTGAGAGGAGGGAGCTGGAATATTCTAGAAGGGAGAAGATGAGCGTGTGGGTGACATTTTCAAGCTCAGGGCGGGAGAGGATAGTTTCGATTATTATTATTGTGCGGAGGTGGAGAAAACAGGATTGAATTACTTTTTTGTTGTGTAGGTGGAAGTTGAGGTGTGTCAGAAACGACACTGAGATGATATTAGAACTGGATTGATTAAAATGATTTCAGATTTGGAGCCATTGAGTTGAAGGAAGTTCTGTCCTGTCCAACTGTTTACTCTTCACTTAATGAATCATTGTGAAACGATGATAAACTAGGTAATCTTCCCTCGTGCGTTGGTTAGTCGTCTAACCTGTCAGAGCTTTCAAAAACAACTAACTCCAGCTCGTGTGACTCACTGACACTTTCTCTTTTACATGTGACCTGCTTCACTTTGATTGACAGTTGGGGGTATAAATATCCCAGAGTTCCCAGACAGATCGAGACCAGGAGTGACCCAGCAGCGACCTCACAAATCCTCTGTCCTGGACCACCCCCAGAGAGACCGAGGGAGGGAGGGAGGGAGGGTGTCCCGCAGCTTAAACCGCTCATCACCCACACTGTAAATAACCCCACCCATCCCCCACGAAGCACCAATCTAATGTCCAGCACTTACCCTGCACCCATCCCCCGCGCAGCACCCATCTACTGCCAGCACCCATCCACCGCGCAGCACCCATCTACTGCCAGCACCCATCCACCGTGCAGCACCCAGCCACCGCACAGCACCCATCTACTATCCAGCACCTATCACGCGCTCAGCACCCATCATCCACCTGACACCCGCCCAGCAACCATCCATCACCAGCACCCATCGACACCCAGCACCCATCACCCACCCAGCACCTATCATACGCTCAGCACCCATCACCCGCCCACCAACCATCCATCCACCACACAGCACCCAACCATCGTCCACCTGACACCCACCCAGCAACCATCCATCACCAGCACCTATCCACACCCAGCACCCATCACACACAGCACCCATCACACACAGCACCCATCACCCTGCCAACAACAAGCCAGCACCTACCCAGCAACCAGCCAGCACCCATCCACCGCACAGCACCCACCCATCATCCACCTGACACCCGCCCAACAACCATCCATCACCAGCACCTATCCACATCCAGCACCCATCGACACCCAGCACCCATCACACCCAGCACCCATCACCCGCTCAGCACCTATCACTCGCTCAGCACCCATCATCCACCTGACACCCGCCCAATAACCGTCCACGCCCAGCACCCATCACACGCCCAGCAACCATCTATCACCAGCACCCATTACACACAGCACCTGCTCAGCACCCATCCACCACAGCACTCACCCATCACCCACCTGACACCCACCCAGCAACCATCCATCACCAGCACCTATCACACACAGCACCCAACACACGCCCAGCAACCATCACCCAGCCAGCAACCAGCCAGCACCCATCCACGCCCAGCACCCATCACATGACCAGCACCCATCCACGCCCAGCACCCATCACCCGCCCAGCAACCATCCGCAGCACCCATCATAAAAGCATTCAAATTATTCTAGTGAAGGTGTGTGGAGTTTAAAAACACAGTGGAGCACTTCCTGTATTACCACATGACATCACAAGGTGGAACAGAGCATTTTGAATTTGAGAGAAGAACTCAACTTAATTTGGTTTTGTTTTTGTGTGTTAAATTTGTGTGAATGAAACAAAACCCAAGTCCAGGTCTGTTTGTGTGTGTGGAGTTTGCATCTTCTCCCTGTGAAAATTGGAGGTGTTGAAGTGATTTTATTTTGAAGTAACATGACTCTGGTATGGGGCAGAGGTACATGTAGGTCAAGGGTATGTTTTGGAGCAGCAGCTGACGCCAGGCGTAAACAAAAAGCTTAGCGTCAAAATTGAGGCGACGCGACAGGAGCGACGGGGTGCCGAGTCAGGCGCGACACCTGCCTTCGGTTTAGGACGGGCGCATTCCGGAAAGTGCATGCCTCCAGTCGTGCGACGGTATTGTCAGTGTAAACAAACGAGGCGGGATGACGGAGAGGGCGGAGGATCAGCTGAGGACAGGGCTGGGTTTGAAACGGCACAGTAAGAACAAGGAAACGAGGAAATCAAAATATGCAAATGAATGATTATAGTGATGATTTCAACTGTCGTCAAACCAAAACAATTTGTACCTGATGTGACCGCAGGAATTTACCCTGACCTGAGGTGACTTCTGCTGCTGCTGACTGACTCAGCTGGAGGAGCTGACCTCAACCAGACACAAGGAGAACATGCAAACTTTACACACACACACAGACAGGGAGAACATGCAAGCTCAACAGAGATGCAGGAAGAACATGCACATTTTACACAGACACACGGAGAACATCCAAACTGCAGACAGACACAGACACAGGGAGAACATGCAAACTACACACACACATACACACAGGGAGAAAGTGCCAACTCCACACAGACACAAGGAGAACATGCAAACTCCACACAGATGCAGGGAGATCATGATGACTCCACTCAGACACAGGGAGAACATGCAAACTCCGCACGCATACAAGAGAACATACAAACTCCACACAGACACAAGGAGGACATGCAAACGCTACCTGGGCAAAGGGAGAACATGCAAACTCCAAACAGACTCAGGGAGAACATGCAAACTCCACACACACACACAGGGAGAACATGTAGACTCTACTTGGATGCAGGGAGAACATGCAAACTTCAATCACACACACACAGGGAGAACATGCAAACTCACACACACACACAGGGAGAACATGCAAACTCACCCGAGACACAAGTAGAACATGCAAACTCCAGACACACACACACACACAGGGAGATATTGCAAAGTCCACAGACATACAGAGAGAACATGCAAACTCCACACAGACATGGGGAGAACATCCAAACTCTACCTGGGCACAGGGAGAACATACAAACTCCACACAGACACTGGCACAAGAACATACAAACTTACTTGGACACGGTGAGAACATGCAAACTCTACTTGACACGGTGAGAACATGCAAACTCTACTTGGACACGGTGAGAACATGCAAACTGTACTTGGACATGGTGAGAACATGCAAACTCTACTTGGACACGGCGAGAACATGCAAACGCCACACAAATACAGGAAGAACATACAAACTCAGACAAACACAGACATAAGGAGAGCATGCCAGCTCCACCCGGACACATAGAGAACACGCAAACTCAACCTGGACGCAGGAAGAACATGCACACTCCACACACACACAGGGAGAACTTACAGACTCTACTTGGACACAGGGAGAACTTACAAACTCCACACAGACAAAGGGAAACATGCAAACACACACTCACACACCCACACACACACACAGGGAGAACATGCAAACCCACACGGAAAGGCCAGAGCGTCCGGGGGAACAAAACCAAACACAAAAGTGAAACCATTTTGACATTTGAATCGTTGTTTTTGGAGAATATAACATTCTGAAAACAGTAAAAGTTGTTGTGGTGATATGAACATGTTGTGTGAACAGTGAAACCCCCAGCAGACGTATAATACTCCCTCTTTAACCAGACAAAATGTGAACGTGTCTCTAACCTTGGAGCAGTTGAACGTGGACGGTCCAGGCCGTGTACAACTTGTGAATGTTTCACCTTGTATTAGTCACGTCCCTCCCGTCGCAGCTGGGGCCTGTTTCCTTGGTAATGTCCTTCAGCTTCAGCCATGTGCCACGTTTCACCCAGGCCTGTACACGGACACAACACAACACGCATGAAAACAAACTCAAGGATGGAAGTACACACAAGTACACACAAGTACACACAAGTACACACAAGTACACGTACACGCACATCTCAACTGGGACCAAACTCCAAAATGAATCCAGACTAGACCAGAACTAAACCAGGACCAAACCTAGTCTACATATTATTAAAAGTACTTTTTAAGGTGCACTGTGTAACTTTTCTGGTGCTTTTCTCCATGGAGATGTTATTGTGTTGTCTGGAATGTTTCACAGTATGGCATTAAAACTTTCATTCTATCTTCATGGAGACCAAACCAGACCAAGTTACAAGTCAGATCTGTGGAGAGACAACCGCACTTGCAGTGAACATGTATATATTTTTTAAGTATTTTTGAGCTCTAAAACCACTTGTAGTAGAATAAATGTAAAGTAGAGCTGTTTAATGTCACACTGTGGAACATTCCAGGCAGAGACATGACATCTCCATAGAAACAAGCAACCAAAAAGTTACATACAACACCTTTAAAACACCTGTAATCTAACAGACAAAACATCAAATAATGCACAAAGTAAAAAAAAAACAAAAAAAAAACACATAACATAACTTTTCTGCAAACACCTGTTACCTCTGTGAAGATCTTATAGTTTTGCATGGAATGTTCCAAAGTGTGGCATTAAACTATCTTTGCATTATTCAATTACAGGTGTTTTTATTGCTTAAGAATTGCTTACAAAAACATGCATTTGTACTGTGAGTGGGCTCGCCTCTCCATAGACCTGTAACTCGGTCTCAGCTGCCTGTCTCCATGGAAATATACAAGTTAACGCCATATTGTGGACCCTGTGGAATCTACTTCTACATTGTATAAGCAGTTCTTAGGTCAATATATGTGTGTTTGTGTGCTGTCTACTTCTACCGTATTTCCAGGACGATAAGGCGCACTTAAATTTTCTCAAAAAAGAACAGTGCGTCTTGATAAGGTGCACTTATGTATTAATTTTGGTTGTGCTTACCGAACCGAATTTTATGTGGTACACAGCGCTCAAAAATCTGTCAAAATGTCTTTAGAAAGCTATGAAGCTGCACCGCTTGATGGATTATCGGAGCATTACGCCTACTGTAGTCAGGAGCCTCGCGGAGTAATCCACATTCACCAAGACAAAGAGACAACGCCGGGCAAGTTACGCCACGATCTGCCAATGGATCGTGGACGCCTGGGGTAGAAAAATATGGTAATTATTTAGTGTTTTATTGTCCGAGAACCAGGAAGTGCACTATTAGCATGCTGGTTGTTATTAGCTTTACCATGACTGGAAAAATGGCGCTGCTCAAAGTTGTAGAAAGTGCTTATAAACTCATCAGAGTGAATAATTAAGATGCTCAGAATCCATAAGGTAGTGAGTGGGCTCTCCTCTCCACAGACCTGTAACTCCATGGAGATATACAAGTTCATGCCATATTGTGGAACATGTGGAATCTACTTCTACATTGTATAAACAGTTCTTGAGGTCAATATATGTCTGACTGTGTGCTGTCTGCTTCTACCGTATTTTTTTTAATTATAAAGCGCAAATAAAATCTTTTAATTTTCTCAAAAAAGGACAGTGCGCCTTATAATCCGGTGCACCTTATGTATTAATTCTGGTTTACTGACCTCGAATAGATTTTATGTGGTACATGGTGCTCAAAAATCTGTCAGAATGTTTTAGTACAACTTTAGAAAGCTACGAAACTGCACCGCTTGATGGATTGTCAGAGCGTTACGCCTAACATACCTACCATACCGTACCTTGCGGAGTGATCTACATTCACCAAGACAGGGAGACAACGCCAGGCGAGTTACACCACGATCTGCCAATGGATCGTGGACACCTGAGCTAGAGCCTGGAAACCTGACTGACATCTGATGGGACTTGTCAGAACCCAACGGATTCAGATAAATATTTAGAACTTGTGTCCGGGTCCGAGCCGAGCCCAAACACATCAGCGCGTCATCTGTTTCCTGTCTACAATAAACCAGTCGCTTTGACACTCTTAAGCGTTCAAAGATCAGAGCTCTGCACTTCTAGTTTAGATACAAGTCAAAACTGTTTTATTATTATTTGTGAAATGTGGTTCAATACTTCAGGTCTGTGAAAATAGTGTGATTTTAATAGTGTCGGGCTCAGGTCAGATTGGATCACAGCTCTGTCAGATGTGGGCCGGGCTCAGACAGAAACATTCAACCAGATCCACACTCTAGTCCAGGCTGAGTTATTGTGAATGAGTTGAAGAAAGTTTGACTTATTTTTCTGTTTTGTTTCGCTTAATGCTCCTTATAATACACCTTCTGTATGAAACTAGACCAGAAAATTCTACATTATTACTGATATTGCGCGTTATAATTCGGTGCGCTTTATAGTCCGAAAAATATGGTAATTATGAAGTATTTTATTGTCCGAGAACTAAGAAGTGCACTATCAGCATGCTAGTTGTTGTTAGTTTTACCATGACTGCTTTTAAACTCATCAGAGTGAGAATTAAGATGCTCAGAATCCATAAGGTAAAAGAGGAATAACTTTGGACTACTGCAAACTCTTCTTCAAGCTAGTACAAATTCTACTGCACTTCAAAATACTATTACTTCAAATGACATAAGTCTGGAGTATGGCGTGACAAAAGTGCTCTTGGACATACACGCACTGGTCTATCTGGTTCATGTGGTTGTTTTGGCTGAGGCCCAGACTGCAGTACAAATATTTGGCATACTCTGTGTACTGAATGTCTTCCAAGTACATCAAAGCAATTAGTACTACTTCTCAAATATCAGAAGAAGTTCACGGCTTGTAAGCACTGGAAAGGTTACTCCAGAAAAGTACTGCATGTATGGCTGAATATAACTAGACTATAGACTATAAGTTATGTTGGTATTGTAGTACTATTACTTTTACTTTTGGTACTACAAACCACGTCAACCACATTCTCAAGACTACTACTCACCATATGACCTTGTTTTGACGGCTACAGCTACTACTACTACTACTACTCCTTGTTTTGACGGCTGCTGCTACTACTACTACTACTACTACTACTACTACTACTACTACTACTACTACTACTAAAACTATGTGATTTCTACTTCCAATTACTGTAAAGTACCTGGAGTTGTGTTTTTGTTTAATCTTGCAGTTTGTTCCCCTCACCAGAGCTGAAACACTTTGTGACATCATTAAGTGGTAAACAAGGAAGTGCCCTTTTATGTTTTTAAAGTCTGTAGCATTATTGTTGACGTCATTTTTATCATTTCCAATATGACTAATGTCGGGTTTAAACTGTGCAATTTTTGGCCCTTTATGAGCAGATTTTTCACTTGTGCGACTGTTTTTGGGAACGGGCCGAGTTTTGGCTTAATCATGTGTCATGGTTCGTGATGTAAACATGGGGTAACGAGAACCAATTAATACCTCACGACCAGCTCGACAATCGTAGGTCACAGGAATATCAAACCTGTTTGAAATCCAGTCGCCTCTCATGACGGTTTTGCTCTGTTGCAGTAGTTTGTTTAGTATGAGAACATGAATTCTGAGTCATGAACTTTTAAACCCTGTGATTTGTTCGTACAGTTTCCGCTGGGGCTGAGTGAAACCATCAAAAATATCGGACAGTGTATGTGCAGCATTAGTTTTAACTATACTTGTTGACAACTCTAAGGGCCTGTTTACACAAGAACACTTTCAGACAAAAACGAACAAAATATTTTATCGGAAGTGCCTTTCATCAAAAATTTGCACCCACCCTTCAGAGTGGAAAAGTTGAATACACTCCACCGTAGTGTTTCTGTCTACACTGCCCAAGACACAAAACTCTGGTCAGATCTGCTCACGTTGTGTACACGTTTTCGTCACATACCACCTAGCTGCACCACCTCGCTGTCTGGCATGTATTCCCAATCCAATTCCACACTTTTGCGTCACCAATATGCACACAGATTTCCTCCCGAAAATGCTCATCTAAAAGCAGAAGAAAAAGTGAACCATCCACTTTTACGTCTTCTGTTTAGACCATCATCATATAAACGTAGCCTAACAGAACTCACAATGACAGCAGAGTCATGAGTCTTGAGACTAACTGAATGGGAGCGTGCCTATGTTCCCTCAGCCTTATGTTCCTTCATTTATAAGTTTGTTTTAGTTTGTTGTTTTTTTTTCCCCCAAAATTAGGCCCTTTTCCTTTATCATCAGTTTGCATCAGATTTTATCCCCATTTCCCCCAATTTGGTCATCAGTTACACCCAACCTACTCTCCAGCAGCAGCAGACTACAGATGTGATGTAGAGGTCCTGGAGCAAAGGACCCGGGGTTGAAATGACTCTGAATCATCTCTTTAAATGTGGTATAAAAATAAAAATGACTTGACTTAGAGTTTCATTTTGAGAAAAATCTTAGAAATAAGAGAACATAGAGCTGTGGGAACATAGAGCTGACCAAAACCGAATGTTCCATTCAGCTTTTAAATGTGACATAATTCATGCAAAAGCAAAAAAAAAAAAAAAGTAAAGTATTAAACATGTGAACACTGAAGTGTTCTTCCTGATCCTGTTTGTGGTTGTCACACTGCTGAGCTGCTGATTGACATGTGAACAGTGCTATCTTCTCCTCACACACTGTGACGACTGTTTTCTTTATACTGAGACACACTTTGTCTGAGGAGCGCACACACACACACACACACACACACACACACACACACACACACACACACACAGACACACACAGAGACATACAGTAAATCTTGTATCAGAGGGTTTGGGTCCAGACGGGGCCATGTCCACTGTCCATAGAACATAGACACACTTAAAGTCTCTTTATCTAATTGTTCCGTCTTAAAAAAAAATCTGAAAAAAAAAAAAAACAGTGCTAGTTCATTGTAAACAGTTTGCAGAGTTGTTCCTCACTTACATTATGCATTCACAACTCGTATTGCTGTGACGGCAAAGCTAAAAACAACTAGCATGCTAATG